TAAAAAATAATCTTGAATAGAAAAGCCATTTTCAGAATAATGTTTATAATATGACACCATTTAAATAAACTTTAGAAACAGGTAGAACACAAGCATATATTCTAGCATATAACAAATATATTAAACTATGCAAGAATATAATATAAACTAAGATAATGGACATGATTGTGGAGAAAGAAAGTTTTTTTTTTTGAGATGACGTCTCGCTCTGCCATCATGCTGGAGTGCAGTGGCATGATCTCGACCCACTGCAACCTCTGCCTTCCAAGTTCAAACAATTCTCCTACCTCAGCCTCCCGAGTAGCTGAGACTACAGGTGAGCACCACCAGCTCCAGGTAATTTTTGTATTTTTTTAGTAGAGACGGATTTCACCATGTTGGCCAGGATGGTCTCCATCTCCTGACCTCATGATCCGCACGTCTCAGTCTCCCAAACTACTGAGATTACAAGCATGAGCCACTGCACCCGGCCTAAGAAAAAGATTTTATCAGAAGGGTACAAATGGATGCAACTACATATGTAATGTTTAACTTCTTAAAAATAAACAAAACTTCTGAAGTTAATATGACCAAATGTTAAGTAGGATTTGATGAGCTGAATGGTGGATACATTGTTTTTAAATTAGTCATTGTAGCTCTCTGTTTGCCTGAAACAGTTTATTTTTGACATGTAAGAAAAGATGGAAAGGAGGCAGGAGAGAAGTAAGGAAGGGAGAAAGTAAGCCAGGGAGGCAGGCGGACAAAAAGGAGAGAAAGCAATTTCCATCTCTGAATAAGCCCACTTCTTATTCAATACCATGATTTTGCTGCTGTTTCTTTTCTGCAGTGGAGACACATGGTAGAGCAGAGAAGAAAATGTCCTGTTTTCCAGAAATTTGAGTTTTGATCCTAACTTGATCCTGTTTTAGTCATATGACCTTACACAAGCCACACAGTTTAAAAGGTATAGCCAAGCATGGTGGCTCACGCCTGTGGTCCAGACCTTTGGAAGGCCAAAGTGGGTGGATCACTTGAGTTCAGGAGTTGGAGACCAGCCTGGCCAACATGGTGAAACCCTGTCTCTACTAAAAATACAAAAATTACCGAGGCGTGGTGGCACACACCTGTAATCACAGCTACTCACGAGGTTGAGTCAGGAGAATCACTTGAAGTTGGGAGGTGGAGGTTGCAGTGAGCTAAGATGGCACCACTGCCCTCCAGCCGGGGCAACAGAGCAAGACTCCATCTAGAAAAAAAAAAAAAAAAACACGAAAGAAGCACATAATAATTGCTGATCATTTTGCTTTTTCATTTCTTTAAAATTGTTTCTCTGTGGTACCAATCCTTCTTCCACTGCTTGCTTTCATTTCAGTGTCATATCGTAGAAGGGTTCACATTATAAAGGAAGTCAGAAACAGTCTTGAGTAATCAGACTGTGCCCACAGCCCCTGCCAAAGGGCCTGTAGCAGCCCCCAGGCCCACCCTGGCTGCTAAGGACCGGCTATTTTGAAAATGTGGTGTAATATGATACTGAGAACCATATCATAGGGAGATGATAATGTTCTGATTTTTTTAATATTAGGCACTAGCTCTAGTTACACCTCTGCGATATTGACAAAAATGTCATCCTCACCCCCCCTTGACATTAGAATTGAAAGCACAGGGGGGTTTCACCCCTTGCAATGTTTAATTTAATATAATTGTTTTCTTGTTTACATTAGTGATCATATCAGAGCGTGGTGTGCCCCTCTTGCCGTATTCAGAGTATTTCCATATGGACAGTAACATTCTCCTCTCCTTCCCTGGATATTAGGAACAATATCACAGGACCGGTGTACAGCCCCAGTCACATCATGAGTAATAGCATCTGTAATCCCCTAGTTATTAGGAACAATATCACTGGGGGCTTGTGCGCTTTCTGAGATATTTGGAGTAACATCCTCTCTGTTTTTGGATATTAGAAACAATACTACAGTGGTGGTGTACACTTCCTGCGATATTCAGGGTATACTCATCCTCTGTCCCCAGGATATTAGGAACTACATCACAGAAGCATTGTACATTGCCTGTGATATTGGAACAATCACAGGGTGTACACTTGCTTTTGCAATGAGAGTAATACCTACTTAGGATATGATGGATAATATCACAATATGTACACACATGGGTGTATACCCACCTTGATATTGGAAGTAATTTTTATCTAATATACTAAAAATCATATCCCAGAATATATTCATGATGTGTGCACTTATTAAAATATTACAATAAATGTATATAATATGTACCATATGTACATTTACTGTGATGTACATATGTGTACACAATACATACATACAATAAATGTACATAATCTTTACAATATGTACACTTATATGTACATAATGTGTACACAATAGGTATGTACATAGTGTGTACAATATGTACATTTATTGTAATATCACAATGATATCATATAATCACAACAGCATATATATCACAATACATATGTAATACATAATATCAATATACATGTACATATTATACACATTATGTACATATACATTTATTGTGATATTACAATATGTAGACATGTGCATCATGTACACATGCAGATCTACAATATATACACGTGTACATAATTGTGCATGGTTGTACATATGTACTCTATGTACACGTGTACACATATGTACATACTATGTAGATATGTACCTTCTGTACACAAGTACATAAAATGCACAATATGTACAGGTGTAAACTATGCACACACATGGTGTATGCCCACTTTGGTAACAGGAGTAATTTCTATCTAATATACTAAACATAATATCCCAGAATGTACTCATAATGTGTACATTTATTGGCATATTGCAATAAATGTATATACTAGGTACAATCTGTACATTTACTCTGATGTACATATGTGTACACAATACACATGTAGAAGAAATGTACATAATTTGTAAAATATGTACCTTTATATTTATATAATGTGTACACAATGCGTAGGTACATAATGTGTACACTATGCACATTTCTTGAAATATCAGTGACATCATATATAATCACAATAACATATATAATCACAATAATATATATAATGCATAATATCACAAAAAAGTACATATTGTACACATTAGGTAATATGTATTGTGTACATATTATGTACATACATATTTATTGTGATAGCACCATATGTACACGTGCACAAATATGTGCCCACTATGTAAATTATGTACACATGTAGAAATAGGTGCAAACTCTGTACCTATGCACAGCACGCTAGCCCACAGCCCCCACCAGAGGGCCCATAGCAGCCCCCAGGCCCACCCTGGCTGCTTAGGGACCCCCTGGCTAGGGGCCTGTGCCCACAGCCCCTGCCAGAGGGCCCATAGCAGCCCCCAGGCCCACCCTAGCTGCTTAGGGACCCCCTGGCTGCTAGGGGCCGGCTTTTTTGAAAATGTGGTGTAATATGATACTGAGAACCATATCATAGGGAGATGATAATATTATTCTGTTTTTTTTTTTTATATTAGGCACAATAACACTAGCTCTAGTTACACCTCTGCGATATTGACAAAAATGTCATCCTCACCCCCCTTGACATTAGAATTGAAAGCACAGGGGGGTTTCACCCCTTGCAATGTTTAATTCAATATAGTTGTTCTTGTGGATATTAGTGACCATATCAAAGAGTGGTGTACACTTCTTGCCATATTTACAGTATTTCCATACGGGCGGTACCATTCTCTCCTTCCCTGGATATTAGGAACAATATCACAGTGTACAGCCCCAGTCACATCGTGAGTAGTATCATCTGTAATCCCCTAGTTGTTAGGAACAATATCATTGTATGCTTCCTGTGATATTTGGAGTAATGTCCTTTCTGTTTTTGGATATTGGAAACAATATTACAGTGGTGGTGTTCTTCCTGCGATATTGAGTGTATAATCATCCTCTCTCCACGGGGTATTAGAAACTACATCACAGAAGCGTTGTACACCCCCTGTGATATTGGAACAATCACAGAGTGTACACTTGCTTTCACAATGAGAGTAATACCTCCTTAGGACATGATTGATAATATCACAAAATGTACACACATGGGTGTATACCCACTTTGATATTAGGAGTAATTTTTATCTAATATACTAAAAATCATATCCTGGAATATACTCATAATGTGTATGTTTATTGGAATATTACAATAAATGTGTATAATATGTACCATATGTACATTTACTGTGATGTACATATGTGTACAAAATACATATGTACAACAAATGTACATAATCTGTACAATATGTACATTTATATGTACATGTGCGCAATATGTACATTTATTGTAATATCACAATGATACCATATATGTAATCACGATAATATATATATAAGTAATATCACAGTAAATGTACAGATTGTACACATTATGTACATATAATTTCTTTTGGTATTACAATATGTAAGCATGTACATAATGTACGCATTATGCACATATTTACTATATATAGACGTGTACATACGTGTGCACATTGTGTACATTATGTACAGACAGACGTACACGTGTCCAAAATGTGCACATAATGTAGAGATGTACAATATGTACACGTATAATGTATACATTAGGTACATTTGTACTATAGATACACGTGTACATAACGTGCACATTATGTAGAGACGTACATATGTACACATTTACATGTTTACATTATGTACAGATGTACAGTGTGTACACATGTACATACAGTTGCACATTGTGTACATATGTACAATATATACACATGTACATGTAGGTGCACATTAAGTGCTTATGCACAGCCCCCTAGCCCAGTGAGCAAGAGGACGCTGCATTGCCCTAGTTGCCAGCAGGGGGCATCTTGCCACTACAGTGTGAGTAAGAGGGCCCTGCAGTGGTCCGCCACCAAGAGGGGGCACCCAAGCCCGCCTTTTCAGATTCCCGAGGCTCCGCCGCAGATGTGCATCGCGTCACAGTGCCGCCCTTTGTCGCATCACAGCGGTCTGCGGAGTTGCGTTCTCCTTAGTGTAGACCTGGGGGGCACTTCGAGCATGGAGCTGCGTCGTCTTCAGCACAGACCCTGGGGCTTGGGTATTACTGTGAGAGGGCCTTGCAGTGGCCCTAGTCGCCAGAAGAGGGCGGGGGCACATCACCAGGAGCGAGGTGCACACCGCAGCCTCAGAATACAAATGGAGTGTTCCTAAGGCAGATATGACATCCGAAATGCGAATACGACATCCACAGTGCTCATGTAGAAAACAGCTGTGATGCTAATGCAAGGCCTCATTCCGCAATGTTACTATAAAATCCGCACTGCTCATGCGGCCCGGCCAATACAGCAGTTTGAATTGTCAACACTGACCTATCAGTGCAAACGCAGAAACTAAGTATGGTTAAGGCTTAGGGTGAGGATTAGGGCTAGGGGTTAGGGTTAGAGTTGGGGGTTGCCCGTTAGGCGTTAGGATTTAGGGGTTAGAAGAATTTGAGGCAAAATAAACAGTTTATTTAAGCAAAGGAATGATTCGTGAATCACACACAGAAGGCAGGGCTTGGGGCTTCGAGCTCTTCCTGGTGGCAGCTAAGTGAGGTTTCTCCTTGGCTCCAGCTAGGTGACCGCCTGGTGTGGGGATGGTTCCCTCAGCGTCCCTAGTCTTACAGTCAGCTGCGACTGGGCCTATTGTCATTGACTGGTTGGTTTGCTAATGTTTTGAAGTCAGTGTTAATGCCTGCTTTGCAAGACCTCAGGCTAACGGCTTCCTCCTGTTTTGCTTTAACATGTCAAAACCATAATTCATTTTCATTTTACTTTACTGGCATTAATAGAAATTAATAAAAATTCACATTTTTGTTCTTATTCAGAAAGTCAGTTTAATTGGCAACCTATTTGTGATGGTGCATAAAATAATGTCTGTTAATCATTAGCATCTTAGATTAGATGAAATATGTTAACTCTATTAAGCTTTGTTATTAAATCATAACAGGAGTTGAGTCTCTCTCTCTCTCTCTCTCTCTCGCGCGAGCCTTTAACCATTTAAAATATACTCAAGCATCTCCTAATGATGTGAATTCTTTCTGGGAAATTTGTCCTTGGTGATTTCATCCTTGTCTGAATACCATAGAGTGTCCTTTTAAATCCTATATGGTTTAGCCCACTCCACACATAAGTTATATGGTATAGCCTATTGCTCCCATGCTACAAAGTATGGCACATCTCTATACTGAATGCTGTAGTCAACTGTCACACCATGGTGACTGTGGATTGTGATCCCAAAATATCTGAGTCAGGTCTCAGCCAATTTAGAACGCTTCTTTTGCCAAGGTTAAGAACATGCCCGTGACAAAGCCTCAGGAGATCCTGACAACATGGGACCGAGGTGGTCAGGGTAAAGCTTGCTTTTATACATTTTAGAGAGACAGGAGACACCAATCAATATGCGTAAGATGTACAGTATTTTGGTTCAATAAGGTGGAACAACCGGAAGTAGGAAGTGGGGGTGCTTCTGGGTCAGAAGTACATAAAACAAAAGGTTGCATTCTTTTGAATCCTTGATCAGCCTTCCACTGAGTACAATTTAGTCTGGTTCAGTGAATCTTCATTTTTACCTATACAGTAGGGCAGAGGAATGGCGTGATCTTGGCCCACAACAACCTCTGCCTCCCAGGTTCAAGCGATTGTCTTTCCTCAGCTTCCCGAGCAGCTGGGATTACAGGCATGCACCACCATGCCTGGGTAACTTTTGTATTTTTAGTAGAGATGAGCATCCACCATGCCCAGCCTACTATCAGTATATTTGCTGTGGTTGAGTATCTGTTCAGATATTTACCCAGTTTTAAAATCACATGTGTTTTGTGTAAATATCTTCTCATGTCTGTCTTGTCTTTTTGTTTTATCTACAGTTTTTCACAGTAGAATATGTAGTTTTATAAGGTCTGTTATCAATATTTTCATGAATTGGCATTTGATGTTATGTGTTAAAACTCAACACCAAATCCAATGTCATCTAGATTTTCTTTTAGATTTTTTGTAGTTTTGTATTTCATATTACAGTCTCTGGACTATTTTGAGTGGGTTTTTGTTTTTCTTATTTTGTGTATGTACTCATTTCATTCCACATGGCTTCCAAAGTCTTCCATCACCAATTTTTGGGAAGAATATGGCTACAATGGGCTTCATTTTGGCTTGAGTTTCCAAAATTATTACATTGAATAAACTGAATATTGAATTTTATAGGTATTTCAGGACAGCCAGGCGGAGGTGCACGTCTGCTGAGAAACTGAGCAAGAGTGTCTGGGCTGAGCTCTGGCGCCACCAGAGGGCACGTGAGCCCACCCCTGACCAACTTCCCTCTGAGGTGCCAGGTCACCACGAGGGTGGTGTCAACTAAGTCTTGTTCATTGGTGAGTAAAAAGCTTCCTTTCCACGGCCCTGAGTGCAGAGAAGAGAGTCTTTAGAGTACTCAGCAAAGAAAGAAATTCATCTAGAAAAATGAAATCCCCAAATCCCATCATTACGACTACACCCTGATATCATTGTCAACATCCAGACACAGTGGCTGCTGAGATATGTTCTCACAGTGGCCTCTAATACAATAATCACACTGTGCGCTAACATTACTATGATATCCATACTGTCCCCTAACACCAATATAATACCCACACCATACTCTAACACTAATCTGATATCCACACCATTGCTTCTAATACTAATGTAATACTATCTACATGGTTTCCTGATGTTAATGTAATATCTGCACTGTTCTCCATCACCAATATAATAGGTACACCACGCCCTAACACTAATATCTACACTGTGTCGTAATACTAATGTATCCACACAGTAGCCTCTAATTCTAATAAGTATAATAATGTCTACTAAGTGGAGTCTGTTGACATTGAGGCTTTTATAAGGGTTCACAGCTTTGGATGAAGCGTAGCCTCTATAGTGGATTTTGGTGATGTCTCTGCTTTCTGGCATAGTATTGATATGGTTGTTTTAAAAAGTAATTTACTTTCTAATAATGTCATACTTCTAGGAAACTTCCAGTAACAGTGCAAAACATAACCTGTTTCTTTTCTTAGGGTCTCCAGCAGTTATTGCTGTACCAGATTTGCAGTGTCCCACAAAATACTCTGGTATGTTTTACCCAAAGCATGGGAACTCTCCTAGGTTACCACCACATAACCCCTAGATCAGGAAATCGGCCCAGTTCCTCTGTGATAATTCAGTTCACAAACTCATTTCACTTTTACCTCCTGCCCCGCTTGGGTATATAATGTGTTTTTTCATTTTGATCCAGTTTTCCTGACACTGTTCCCAAGACTTTCCTTCATATTTATGATTTTGACACATTTAAAGAGCATACAAGTTTTTGTTTGAACACCTGTTTTCAGGTCTTTGGGGCATATAGCTAGGAATGGAATCACTGAGTCATTGGGTAAATCTACTTGCAACCGTTTGAAGAAACTTCAAATTATTGGACACATATGCTGCACCATTTCATATTGTCACAAGCAGTGTTTCATAGTTCCAAGTTTCCACACATCTTTGTCAACACATTTTTTTTAGTATGACTATTCTAATGTGAGTTAAGGGGTATCTCTTTATGGTTTTAATTATAACTAATGATGTTAAGCATCTCTCAAGTGCTTGCTGGTGAAGTGTGTATTAAAGTGCTTCGTTAGTTTTTAGATTGGATTGTCTTTGTTGTTGAGTTGTAAAAGTTATTTATACATTCTGTATAACAGGCACTTATGAAGAATCTACTCTGCAGATTTTTCCTTCCATTCTGTGGGTTACTGGAACATAATAAGAGTTTGAGTATGGTCTCTGCCCCAGTGTCCTGAGGCAGAGCGCTAAGCCTTTGTAATGTATGAAGTGATGTGTCTTTGTGTGTTAATGAGATGATTGATGGCTGGGGGCACCTGGACAGCCTCAGTGGGGCTGGTTGCCAAAGGAACCAACCTTGCCATTAGAGGATTTGAAATTCTGGGCCAGGCGCGGTGGCTCATGCCTGTAATCCCAGCACTTTGGGAGGCCGAGGCAGGTGGATCATGAGGTCAAGAGATCGAGACCATCCTGGTCAACATGGTGAAACCCCGTCTCTACTAAAAATACAAAAAATTAGCTGGGCATGGTGGCACGTGCCTGTAATCCCAGCTACTCAGGAGGCTGAGGCAGGAGAATTGCCTGAACCCAGGAGGCGGAGGTTGCAGTGAGCCGAGATTGTGCCATTGCACTCCAGCCTGGGTAACAAGAGCAAAACTCCATCTTAAAAAAAAAAAAAAAAAAATTCAGCCTCCCTCCCATCTCTGTGAAAGTTAGAGGTGCTGATGGTTGAGTTGAATACCTAAAGGCACTGTTGGGAACATGCTAACACAGTGGTCCACAAGCTTTTTGGCACCGGGACTGGTTTTCTGGAAGACAGTTTTTCTATGGCCAAGGGTGGCGTGCATGGATTTGGGATGATTCAAACACATTATGTTTATTGTACATTTATTATGATTACACTGTAATATGTAATGAAATACTGATTTTGGATTGTCTTCCCGCAACTGGATGGTCCCATTTGGGGGTGAAAGGAGACAGTGACAGATCATCAGATATTAGCTTCTCATAAGAAGCATACAGATCAGATCCCCCAACTGTGCAGCTCACAGTAGGATTAGTGCTTCTATGAGAATCTAATGCCACTGCTGATCTGTCAGGAGGCAGAGTTCAAGTGGTGATGCATATGATGGGGAGTGGCTATAAACACAGGTGACACAATACTTGCCAGTCCTCCGCTCACCTCCTGCTGTATGGTCCAGTTCCTGAGAAGCGGCAGACTGGTACCAGTCTGTGAGCTGGGCATTGGGGACACCTGCTCTAACAGACCAGGTCCTTGTCTCATGCAGAAAGCCAAGATGATAAGCATGACAACATTTTGGTCAAGCTAGAGAAAAACATCATTGCAAGCCAGGCACAGTGACTCATGCCTGAAATTCCAGCACTTTGGGAGGCCGAGGTAAGTGGATCATGAGGTCAGGAGTTTGAGACCAGCCTGGCCAAACTAAAATACAAGTATTAGCCAGGTGTGATAGCGTGCGCTATAATCCCAGCTACTCAGGAGGCTGAGGCAGGAGAATTGTTTGAACCCGGGAGGCGCAGGTTGCAGTAAGCCAAGATCATGCCACTGCACTCCAGCCTGTGCTGCAGAGCCAGAGTCCATCTCATAATGAGAGTCTCCAAACTCAAGTTACCTGGGCTTGCCCCTCCACCCCATCATTTTGTCACCCCACGGACCAAGCCACCCTCCCCCTTGTTGTACTGAAGAACCTGGGCAAACTGTGTATTTGAAAAACACTCACCTAGTGGTAAAAAGCCTAGCCTATGGCATTGGCCTGCCTAGGTCCAAATCCCAGCCCCAGCACTGATTAGCTGGTTGATTCTAACAAGTAGATCATCTCTCTCAGCCTCCGTGTTTCCATCTGCAAAATGGGCATATGAGTCATCACAGCAGCTGATTGTGAGAATGGATTTAGTGGATCTGGACTGAGCCATGAGAGCACTGATTTTTATAAGATCTTTCAGGAGATTCTAACTATGTGTTAAGAATCAAGAACCACTAATCTAATTACTCTCGTCACAGTGAAATATTTATTACTGATTATAAAGGTTATAATAATTATTATAGTTATATAATTAAAAGTAAATATATAATATATATTCTAATAAGTATTTACTATTATTTGAGATGGAGTCTCGCTCTGTCTTCCAGGCTGGAGTGCAGTGAGTGGTGCAATCTTGGCTCACTGCAACCTCCCAGATTCAAGCAATTCTCCTGCCTTGGCCTCTTGCGTAGCTGTGATTACAGGTGCCCGCCACCACACCTGGCTAATTTTCATCCTTTTTGGTAGAGATGGGGTTTTGCCATGTTGGCCAGACTGGTCTGAAACTCCTGACCTCAAGTGATCCACCCACCTCAGCTTCCCAAAGTGCTGGGATTACAGGCATGAGACACTGTGCCCGGCCACAGTGAAATTAATAACACCCCCTCCACTCTCCGGGAAGACTGGGATTAGATGATAATTTATATCTAAAATTTATTAACTTTTTCATAAATGACCAGATGTGCATATTTTAGGCTAGCAGGCCAGACAGTTTCTGTCACAACTGCTCAAAACATGAAATATAGAAATGAATGGATTTGGCTGTGTTCCAATAAAACTTTATTGATAAGAGTAGGCAGTAGGCAGGATTTGGTCTCTGAGCCATGGTTTACCTTCCCCTGGATTGTTAGCCATGGGACATGGAAAGAACAAGACCCATGCAGGGTCACACACAAGCCAGCGAGTAGCAGGACGGTTTGTTCAGTGGGAGAGGTTTCCTGCTGCAGCTTCTGCCTCTGGCCTCTCCAATGCAGAGGCTGGCCAGGTCAGGTGTCTCCTGTAACTGGCCTTTTGTGCCCCACAGCTGCCAGGAATGATTGCATCATGATACACGGTGCAACCTTTGCCTGGTTCCAGAAAAGCCCTCCCTGCTTCCACAGGTACAGAATAACACCCATGGAAACCAGCCTCACTTTCATAGGGAGAAGCTGCATGGGGCTCCTGCCAACTTCCACCTGAGGGTTGGTGCAGGTTTCCAGCCTGGGATGTGAGGGTGGGTTAGGTTGGGCCAGGGCTCTGCCAGGAAGGTTCCCAGGATGCTCCTGTACCTCCTACAGGTAGGGACCTGTACAGCATAGACCTGCACCTCCTGCAGATGGGGACAATGGCATCTGAGTGTCCCACATCAAGAGGAGACACCCTCTGCTCCCAGGCTGGCCAAGATGTTGCCAAGGTGAGGCTGGCTTAGGAGCTCCATCGTTCAGCCTCATCAGCTTTGCTAAATTCTGTGCCACATATGTTAGTCCCAGATCATTATCATCTATAGCTCCCAACTCTATGGTTTGGTCTTTGTGGCCTAAAACCTTAGCCAGCCCTGAAACTCCACAAGAAGGGAGAAAATATGTCCTGGGCAGTATTTGTATTCGTTGTCATTCATTTCATTGATGGAGCACTAGCTATGGGGCCATGCTCTGTTCTAGGTACTGGGGATTGGGTGAAAGAAACAGACAAGGGCCCAGCTCTCTTGGGGTGATGTGCTGATAGATGTGAGGCCCAAACAAAAATCCAGGGCAAGGGGACAGAGCACGATGGCATGCCTAGGGAGGGAAGGCTTGGCGTTCAAGCTGAGATCATAAGGAAAGACCGTGAGCTGTGCAGGTGTCTGGGAGAAGAGCTTTTTCTTTGGAAACAGAGTCTTGCTCTGTCACCCAGGCTGGGGTGCAATAGCACGATCTCGGCTCACCGCAACTTCCACTTCCTGGGTTCAAGCAATTCTCTTGCCTCAGCCTCCCGAGTAGCTGGGATTACAGGTGCACACCACCACACCCAGCTCACTTCTGTATTTTTGGTGGAGACGGGGTTTCACTATGTTGCTTGTGCTCTTCTCCAACTCCTAATCTTGAGTGATCCACCTGCCTTGTCACCCAAAGTGCTGGGATTACAGGCATGAGTCACCGTGCCTGGCATGGGAGAAGAGCCTTCTAGGCAGTGGGAATGGCATATGCAAAGGTCCTGGGTCAGGAGCATGCCTGGACTTGGGTTTTCCAACCTCAGCATGGTTGATATTTTGGGCTGAAACTTCATGGTTGGGTTCTGTCCTGTGCATTGTGGGATGTTTATTGGACCCCCAGTCTCTACCCACTAGACGCCAGCAGCACCCCCTACCAGTTGTGACATTTGAATTATCTCTAGATCTTGCCAAATGACTCTTGGGAGATGCAGTCATCCCCAGTTGAGAACCACTGACCTATTGTGTTCAAGAAACAGCAAGGAGGTCAGCGTGGCCAAGAAAGAGCAGCTGAGGCACAGAGCGGAAGGAGCCGGGACGTCGTTCATGATCATCAGGACTTTAGCTTTGCCCCTGAGTGAAATGGGAGTGCGGACATGTTTAGCTGGGAAGTGGTCAGAGCTAACATGGGTTTTTGTTTGTTTGTTTGTTTGTTTGTTTGGCTTTTGAGATGGAATCTCGCTCTGTTGCCAGGCTGGAGAGAAGTGATGTGATCTCAGCTCACTGGAACCTCCACCTCCCGCTTCAAGCAATTCTCCTGCTTTAGCCTCCCAAGTAGCTGGGACTACAGGCATCTGCCACCACACACAACTAATTTTTGTATTTATAGTAGAGATAAAGTTTCTCCATATTGGTCAGGCTGGTCCTGGACTCCCAACCTCAGGTGATCCACCCACCACAGCCTACTAAAGTACTGGGATTACAGGCATGAGCCACTGCCGACTTGGATTAACAAATCTCTCTGGTCACGGGGTGGAGGATGGGCTGTGGGACATGAACAGGAGTGGGGTGGGACCAAGAGCAGGGGCAGGCAGGGTAGGAAAGAGCCTATTTATTGCAAGAGCCAAAGCAGGAGGCCAGGCTGGTGAAACCCTCAGGCAGCAGCCAACTCTGTGTGCAAGTGGGTGGACGTGCATGCATGTGTGTGCATGGTGTGAGTGTGTGCACACATGTATGTGTGTGAGCATGGATTGCTTGGGCATGCACGTGCACTTGTGTGTGTGGATGTATGCCCACATTGTGTTGCTGTGCACACTAGCATGCTTGTGTGAGTGTGCAAATGTGCATGCATGTGTGCATGCTGTGTGTGTGCATGAGTGTGCACATGCACAGATGTGCACAGGATGGTTGCTAAAATAACCAGACAAGGACTAGGAAAAGAACAGCCCCACAGGTGCTCTTAGACTCCCAGAGCATGAAAGCTCAGCTCCATCTGAGGCTCACCCTTCCTCAAAGATGGAGGCTGGGCCCTAACCAAGGTCATGTCTCTTTTCTTGTATTGAAAGAATAAACCTCACCACGCCCCAGGGTTGTTTCCTGGCTGTAGTCGGTCCAGTGGGAACACAGAAGTACTCCCTGCTGTCCGTCCTCTTTGGGGAGCTGTCAAAGATGGAGGGGTTCATGAGCATCAAAGTGAGGCCACCCCCTGCCTGTCTGCTAGGATGTACCCATCATCCTGAAAGTCCCCCTTCCTCACTGCCTTTCCACCCCTCATTATCTCAGCCAAGCTCACTTTCATTCGTTCTCTCCACCACCCACCCACCGAGAGCCCAGCTCCCACTGCTCCTCAAAACCTGTCATACCTCTGTCCCCATCATCCTTCTGTGACCAAAGTAAGTTGTGTTTTAGTGTTCAGTGGCCTACATGCTCCAGGAGGCCTGGGTGCAGAACACCTCTGTGGTGAAGAAAGTGTGCCTCAGGCAGTAGCTGGACCCAGCCTGGCTGGAGGGAGTCCTAGAGGCCTGTGCCCTGCGGCGAGATGTGGACAGCTTCCCTGAGGAGTCCACACTTCAATTGGGGAGCAGGTGAGAGTCTCGGGGTCTTTTGGGTCAGGGAGGCATTGCAGTTGGGGGTCATTTTGGTCCCTGACTCATCATGGATGGTATGATAGAGAAATGCAGGAAGTGGTCAGGGAAGTGGGGAAGAAGGGCTCAGCTTAGGGTCAAGCACATACTAGGTGCTCAAGAAATAATCATTAATCAATAAATAGAAATGGACACAAAGAGAAAGGCAAGGAGTTGTGGTAGGAATTGGCTGTGAGGGTCTCTTTGACAACTGAGAGTGAGATGACTAGACTCCTGTCTTACTCTGCCCTGCCTTGCTGGGTGACGTTGATCTAATTGCTTCCCCTCTCTGGGCCTCACCAAAGGGTCTGGACAGAGACCTCCAAGACACAGAATATATGCATCTGGAGCTATGGCTTGGGCAGAAGCTGGCAAACTGTGACCCCCAGGCCAAATCCAGCCCTCCACTTGTGTGTGTGTGTGTGTGTGTGTGTGTGTGTGTGTGTGTGTGTGTGTGTTTGAGACAGAGTCTCACTCTGTTGCACAGGCTGGAGTGCAGTGGTGCAATCTTGGCTTACTGCAACCTCCCCCTCCCACATTCAAGAAATTCTCCTGCCTCAGCCTCCTGAGTAGCTGGGATTATGGGTGCATGCCACCACACCTGGCTAATTTTTATATTTAGTAGAGACAGTGCTTCACCATGTTGGCCAAGCTCATCTCGAGCTCCTGACCTCAGGTCATCTCCTCATTTCCCTCAGAGTCAAAGCCCAAGTCGTGATGATCCCTGGCAAGGCCTCTGTCACCTTGCTCTGGTATCCATCATTCCCATCTCCCATCGTCATCTCCTGGCTTCACTCCAGCCTCCAGAGTCTCTGTGATGTTTTCTGATCCCCCACGGCACACTCTGTCCCCAGGGCCTTTGCACCTGCTGTTCCCACTGTTGGAAATCTCTCCCCAAGAGTTCTCAGGGCTCATCCCTCGCTTCTATCACATTCACAGAGTAATTCCCTGATTACTTTATCCACCACCACCACCGCAATCGTGCTCATGCTAGTGCGCCTTACACCCACACCTGCTTTTGCTTTCCTTTCCTTTTCTTTCTTCTTTCCTTTCATTTTCTTTCTTCTTTCCTTTCCTTTCCTTTCTCCTTTCTTTTCCTTTCCTTTCCTTTTTCCTTTTCTTTATTTTCTTGAGACAGAGTCTTGCTGTGTTCCCCAGGCTGGAGTGCAGTTGTGTAATCTCAGCTCACTGCAACCTCTGCCTCCCAAGTTCAAGCAATCCTCCCACCTCAGCCTTCTGAGTAGCTAGGACTACAGGCAGGTGTCACCATTTTTGTACTTTTAGTAAAAATAGGGTTTCATCATATTGGCCAGGCTGATCTCGAACTCCTAACCTCAAGTGATCCACTCACCTCAGCCTCCCAAGGTGCTTAGATTACAGGCATGAGCCACTGTACCTGGCTGCACCTGCTTTAGTTTTTATTCTTCATAGCGCTTTCCACCAGATGTGCTATCTGTGTTACTGGTTTGTTTGTGGATTGCCTGTCTCTCTCCCCCTCACTAGAATGATGGATCCATTCAGATAGCAGAAACTTTGTTTCTTTAATTGCTGTTTCCCCAAAGCCTAGAACGCTGATGGGGATATAATTACCGGGCAGTAGTTATTAGTGGAATAAATTAATGTAAGAATGAATGAATGTGTCATTTCAGTCTAGATTATAGAGAAAAAAAATGAATGAATGAAGGGCCAGGTGCAGTGGCTTATGCCTATAGTCCCAGCACTTTTGGAGACCGAGGCAGGCAGATTGCTTGAAGTCAGGAGTTCGAGACCAGCCTGGCCAACATAGTGAAACTCCATCTCTACTAAAAATACTAAAAATACAGGCATGGTAGCGCACCAGTAATCCAAGCTACACAAGAGGCTGAGGCAGGAGAATCGACTGAACCCAGGAGGTGGAGGTTGGAGTGAGTCAAGATCATGCCACTGCACTCCAGCGTGGATGAAAGAGTGAGACTCTGTCTCAAAAATAAATAAAAATAATTTTTAAAAAGAATGCATGAAAGACAAGAAGGCCTAGATAGAAGGAATAAGTGATAGTAATCAATAGGACACAAGAAAAATCATAGTGAATCAGAATTTATTTGTAAATTTCAAGATAGCTAGAAGACAAGGATTGTCATGTACTCAATACAAAAGTTAAATATTTGAGGTAATGACTATCTCAGTTACCCTGATATGATCGTTACATACTGTCTACATCAGGGGTCCCCACACCCCCAGCCACAAACCAGTACCAGTCTGAGGCCTGTTAGGAACTGTACAGGCAGCACAGCAGGTGAGCAGCGGGCAGGTGTGTGAGGCTTCATCTGTGTTTACAGCCACTCCTTATTGTTCGCATCACCACTTAAGCTCCAACTTTAGATCAGTGGCAGCGTTAGATTCTCATAGGAGTGCAAACCCTACTGTAAAGACCACATGCAAGTATCTTGGCTGCATGCTGCTTCTTTTTCTTCTTCCTCTTCTTCTTCCTCTTCTTCTTCTTCTTCTTCTTCTTCTTCTTCTTCTTCTTCTTCTTCTTCTTCTTCTTCTTTCTTCTTCATTTTATTATTATTATTTTTTGAGATGCAGTCTCGCTCTTTCCCAGGCTGGAGTAGAGTGGCGCATTTTTGGCTCACTGAAATCTCCACTTTTCAGGTTGAAGCCATTCTCCTGCCTCAGTCTCCTGAGTGGCTGGGATTACAGACACGTACCACCATGCATGGCTAAGTTTTGTATTCATTTAGTAGAGACAGGGCTTCACCATGTTGGCCAGGATGGTATCAAACTCCTGACCTCATGATCCCCCTGCTTTGCCCTCCCAAAGTGCTGGGATTACAGGAAGGAGCCACCATGCCCTGCAGCTGCATGCTTCTAATGAAAATCTAATGCCTGATGATCTATCACAGTCTCCCATTGTCCCTAAAGAGACCGTCTAGTTTCAGCAAAACTAGCTGAGGCTCTCACTGATTCCACATTATGATGTGCTGCATAAGTATTTCATTATATTTTACAATGAAATACTAATAGAAGCAGGTCAGGCACAATGGCTCATGCCTATCATCCCAGCACTTTGGGAGGGTGAGGCAGGCAGATAACCTGAGGTCAGAAGTTCGAGACCAGCCTGGCTAACATGGTGAAACATAGTCTCTACTAAAAATACAAAAAATTAGCCAGGTATGGCGGTAGGCACCTGTAATCCCAGCTACTTGGGAGGCTGAGGCAGGAGAATTGCTTGAATCTAGCAGGCAGAGGTTTCAGTGAGCCAAAAGCATGCCATTCCACTCCAGCCTGGGTGACAAGACAAAACTCCATCTCAATAAATAATAATAACAGTAATAGAAGTAAAGTACACAATAAATGTAATGTGCTTGAATCATTCTGAAACCAACCCCCTGCCCCCAGGTCCATGGAGAAGTTGTCTTCTACAAAACAGATCCCTGGTGCCAAAAAGCTTGGGGATCACTGCTCTACATATCTCAAAATATCACCTGTGCCCCTCAAATAGGTACAACTATTACATATCAATAAAAACTAAAATAAATCAATTAAAATTTAAAATAAAAAAAGTAGGACTGAAAAGTTACCACTGGATCATTGAATAGAGAAATGAATGGTGTCCTCATTAAACGTGGTCTCAGTGGAGAAAGAAAACATAAGTTGGACTCAAATGGATACAGAGAGTGAGCAGGAGTCAGAGTAGCTTGGGAAGCACAGGTAATTCCTCCAGGAAGTGTGCTGGGAAGGAGAGAAGTGAAGCTGGTAAGGATGCAGGGGATGCTGGCTTGGGAGTGAGTGCCTTTAAGCTGAGCATGTGCCCAGGGGACAGACATGGGGAGTAGCACCTCACCCGGATGGGTAGATGTGCCCCAACCTGCTCCTGCCTGGGCTTCCCAGTTTCACCCTGTAGATGCAGACTCAGGACACTCTTACTTTTGTGGCCACAGGGCATGAATCTCTCAGGAACCCAAAGCAGCAGCTGAGCCTCCACCGGGCTGCATACAGAAAGGCAGCTGTACCTGCTAGATAACCCCCTGGTTTATTTGGATGCCCACATCACTCAGCACATCTTTTTTTTTTTTTTTTTTTTGAGACAGAGTTTTGCTCTTGTTACCCAGGCTAGAGTGCAATGGCACCATCTTGGCTCATGGCAACCTCCGCCTCCTGGGTTCAGGCAATTCTCCTGCCTCAGCCTCCCAAGTAGCTGGGATTACAGGCATGCGCCACCATGCCCAGCTAAGTTTTTGTATTTTTAGTAGAGACGGGGTTTCACCATGTTGACCAGGATGGTCTCGATCTCTTCACCTCGTGATCCACCCGCCTCGGCCTCCCAAAGTGCTGGGATTACAGGCGTGAGCCACCGCGCCCGGCCACTCAGCACATCTTTAACCAGGTCATCAGGCCTGGTGGGCTACTCCAGGGAACAGTAAGTTTGGGAACATGTGTCAGAGGGCACAGGGCAAAGGCAGAGAATGCCCTTAACATCCAGTCCTAACCCAAGTTTCTCTCCCTGCCCCCTTCCACTTGAGTCCAAATTTCCTCTTTATTGGTCAGCTTTTGCTGTGATGATGCTACATAACAAACAACCCCTCAGATTTCATCAGCTTACAACAACAGCTGTTTCTTGCCTATGCATCTGTGGTTTTACTACTACAGCTCTGCCTTGGATAATTGGCCGGGGTCGGATGGACTCCTTGTCTTCTTGAGGTAGGCTGAAGGAGTCCCCTCTGTTTCTCTATTTGGAAATGCTATTTTCAAGAAAGATAGCAGAAGCACAAGAAGAGGAGCTCTCCCCACTCTGAGTCTAGGGACAATACTCCCACCCCTACCCCCTGCTCCAGGAGGCTGGCCAAGCACATGGTGTATAACTTTTCTTTTCTTACTGTGTTTCCCCTTCCCTTCATTCCTCTTTCCCTTCCTCTCTCTCCCTCTTTCTCTCTCCTCCTCTCTCCTCCCTCCCTCCCTTCCTTCCTTTCTTTTTTATG